GCTTTTTCTATTGAGGTCCAACAAGTGTTCATTTCTACCCTGTCTCTCTTCCTGATTTTTGAGAAAAAAAAAAGAATGCAAGCAGTCTAGACTAGATTGTTTCAGGATCCTGACAAAGTCACCTTGTTCCTTGCTGTATTCACTTGAAGTTTAGGACAGGTCTCACTCACACAGAGGAACCTGGATCCCACTCTAAATTTGTAGATTGGCATTCTCCCACGTGAGGTACCGCTGGAACTATCTCCTGGTGTAGCTTGAAACAGAAACTCAAGTGGAAATACTGCAAATGATCAAGTTTGAAAGCCAACAGTTCAGCTGAACACATCAAGCTCTTGCCTCATGATCCAAATGAAATCAACCCCTTTTCAAATACTGAGTAGCTAGAAATCTATTTCTCAAAATGAAAAGAACTGGTTTCAATTTGAGGACATTGGAGCATATGTCATCATTTTTGTCTTATACCACCAACCATACAGATGCATTCAAATGAGTGCCCTAGTGACACACCCCTACAAAAGATTTTCTACTTCCTTAAAATTCAATTCAGTGCACTAACACTCCGACGTTTTACTAACTTTAAACTTTTCTTCTCATTTCTTAAAATAAATTTTTGGTTAGTTGTGGTTGACAAAGGGTCACATTATCACGTGACTTTAACATGGGTTGAATGAAGCTCACGTTAGATTCTCGCCAATGTCAAATTTCCATCTCTTTAGAGAAAAAACAGAGGTAGACTCAATTTCAAGATGTATTGCCAGCATTTCCTTTCTGTTGTGCATCCTCCTGCTTCTGTTCAGTGGTTGAACTCTTCACTTCATGTACAACAGCAGTAGCAGCATTAGTATTCGAACTGTGTTCTTCCTGTTTGTTTTTCAAACCATGTTCGTTTGCGTATCTCTCGAGCAAGGGCCTGAAGATATATACTCCGCTGGTAACTCCGACTAAAGTTACTACAAACAGCTGATGAAAAGGCATCCTTCCTATGAAGTCTATGAAGGAGGACAGCATTTTGTCAGAAATTGTCAGAAGTGACAGGCGTTACTCACTCTCGTCTGCGTAAAGACTGGGTTCTACAAATATAACGCCTTGCTGATTTTGATTTCAAAATGGCGGTAGAGGATGTGACCAAGCGAAAACAGGCTCCAACCACTCCTCTAACCAATAAGTTATCTCCTCAGTTGTCTTCTATCCGACAATCAGAAGTGTCTTGTGAATCGTCAAATGTTATGTTTGTACCAGAAAGGTATCTACTAGCGGGGTTACTCCTTTTCAGGCTTGTTAATGCATTTCTCATCCAGACATTTTTTGTGCCTGATGAATTCTGGCAGGGACCCGAAGTTGCGCATAGAATTGTATTTGGATACGGATATTTAACGTGGGAATGGAGAGAAGGTCTTAGAGGCTGGAGTTTTCCCTTGATCTTTGCAACAAGCTATAAATTCTTGGCACTGTTTGGAGTTGACACTGCTAAGTTCCTTGTTGTAGTTCCAAGACTGGTACAAGCTTGTTTTGCATCCTGTGGCGATTTGTTTTTGTACAAACTAGCAGTGAGGAGGTTTGGTCCGCAAAGTGGAATATGGACGCTCATTTGCTACCTGATCTCTTGGTTTACAATTTATTGTGTGACTAGGACATTGACAAATTCTTTGGAAACTGTGTTGACGACAATTGCCTTGTACTATTGGCCATCGACCCACATAAGAGACAATGATAATAGCAACGAAATCAGCAAAGCTCTTAGCTTTGCAGCCTTTTCGTGTATCATCAGACCAACAGCTGCCATTATTTGGATTCCATTATGTGCAATGTATTTACTATCATCACCAAACAAGTCATTGTTTATATTTAAGTGTATTTTTCCAATTGGATGTTTGGCCATGCTGTGGTCTCTTGTCGCGAACAGCTGGTTGTATGAGAAGTGGACACTAGTGGAGGTCAACTTTGTCAAGTTTAATGTCATTAATGATATGGGGACATTTTATGGAAGTCACCCATGGCACTGGTAAGCTGGAGTTAGATCAGGCCATTTCACTTACCCTGTGCATTTTTGTCTTGTACCAGTTCACTACTGTCTGAAAGAGGGACTGGTTACAGTTAGCAGTGTAACAATTAATCAAATTCTCAATTAATCACGATTATGACCGTTCGGTTCGATTCCCAATTCTTTGATTCCAATTTTCGATTTTGGTTCGACTTTTTGCGTACCTTTCACAGAGTGTCCTCAGTGAGTTTTTATATTGTGAAATCGGAATCCAGAACTCTTTAAAATGTGCGTTTTTGATTGACAAGTAGAGACGTTTGCAGTTCGTGCGCCATTTTGTGTTGTGTGGTTAAAATGTTGCCCTTCTACCACCCCTTCAGAATTTCCAAACAAGGCAAACCATGTGCGACACGCTCATTGTATCCTAAAATTGAGGGTTTAGGGTTGTATGTTGTTTACATTGTGTATCATGTCGTAAGAATTAAAAAAAACATTAATATGTTACATAATCGAATTGAAATCGAAATCGAATCGAATTGCAAGGAATATGAATTGTTACACCCCTAGTTACAGTCTTGCTTACTGTTTTGAAGTAATTCCCAAAATCGATCGACTGAATTCTCCTTAAAATATCTTTTCTTTGGCTGTTTTTGTACATCCAGAGATGCATAATTCATCTGTTTGAACTCTAACAAGTTTTGGGCAAGTTCTGTTTTTGCATGTGTGTGTCTGGTTATGCATAACAATGAGCAGAAGACAAGTTATGAGTCTAGAGCAATTATCTGTTTAAGAGGGTAACTTGACTCATGGCATCTAGCAAATTATGCATCTTATGTTTTAAAAAAATCTATCCTTATTGTGATGGTTTTTGTGCATTTTTACAGGTACTTTACTCAAGGATTTCCTGTTGTGATGTTTACTCACTTAATTCCATTTGCCTTTGGTGTTTATAAAGCCAGTCCAAGACAGCAAAATTTGGCATGGCTTATCTTATGGACCATAGTTGTCTACAGGTTTGGTGTAACAAACTTTTTTTTGTTGTTTTAAGAAGAGATGATAAGGGAGCGGTGTGCAACATATCATGCATACATTGAAAGTGTTATCAATCAATTAATTATCTCATACTAAGACTAATGAGACAGTTCCATGCCTAAGAGAGAATCAAGACAAGTCTGTACAGAGGACTTATTTAGAGTGAAATTTAGTTGTTTTTACTATTATTAAGAAATTCCTCCTATTAGGAGTATACTAAAGGAGGCGTTAGGGGCTAGAGAAAGAACTTGTAATACAGAAACTGAATATGTGATGGGATCTGTTTATAGCAAATGTCANATTACCTAGTTAAAAAAATATTACCTAGGTAAAAATCAAATTTACCTGAAGAAAAAAATTACCTACAACACATACATTGAAAGTGTTATCAATCAATTAATTATTTCATACTAAGACTAATGAGACAGTTCCATGCCTAAGAGAGAATCGAGACAAGTCTGTACAGAGGACTTATTTAGAGTGAAATTTAGTTGTTCTTACTATTATTAAGAAATTCCTCCTATTAGGAGTATACTAAAGGAGGCATTAGGGGCTAGAGAAAGAACTTGTAATACAGAAACTGAATATGTGATGGGATCTGTTTATAGCAAATGTCAGCTACTGCAGAAATCTATTGTTATTTAACATAGAATTAAATGCTACTTTTAGGAATTTGTATTTTATTGTTATTTACTTCAAAAGTATAGGACCACAGAATTGATAAAAGAGTGTTTAGATTTTAACAAGCAAATCCCAACAGTCAGTTATAAACCAGATTATAATGATTTGCTTTTAATTTGTAGTTTTTTTTTTCAGCTTTCTTGGCCACAAGGAATTTAGGTTCATTTTTCCAATGGTCCCTTTGGCAATGTGTTACTGTGGGCTCTTTGTAAGCTCTCAGTCAGATAAAAAGGAAAAAACCTCTGAAGGAGATTTAGCAGCAGTCCTTAGACCTGGATGGAAAACTAAGATTATAGTATTTTTTCTGGCCATAACCAATATCCCATTGGCCCTGTACACAAGTACTGTTCACCAGAAGGGAACTGTTGATGTTATGGAGTATATTCAAGTTGAGAGCTCCAAACTGAGAAGCAATGATGACATGTCAGTGTTATTTCTGATGCCATGCCATTCAACACCATTTTATAGGTACAGACCCATTCATTCAAAATGTAATATTTATGGGTGTTTCATTAAGTTGAATTCAATATAATTTGTGAACGGTTTTGCTTCGTGCAAATTACTCTCTGGTTATTAGTGTTCTTACTAATGAATGTCTGTCTTTGTTTTCAGTACTGTGGCTGGGCATTGTGAATTGCAAATCAAATTTTAAGCTTTTTGTCCGCCTGTAAATTTCATCAGCCATTAGTCTCCATAGCTTACATCATTTCAAAACTTAAACAATCGAAACTGGTTGGAAGATGTAAGAGTATCTGTGTTTTGTGTGAAAAGTGATTTCGTCCAATTTGCCCAATATTTTAACATCATGAGTCAATCAGGCTAACACAAGCATTATTGAAGCCAACCAAAGTGCCTTTTTGGATGACCAAAAGACTATTTAGACTAGCTGAAGTGCTATTTAGACTAACCAGAGTACAATTTTGACTAGTCGTTCATTAACACATAGACTCTTAAATGTTGTACTGATCTTACTACACTGACACAATTTCAGTCTGTACATATTGTTGTGTAAAATGTACATGTATTGGTATTTATTTAATTACCATTTTTTATCAGTTTTGTGCACAGAGACATAAGCATGAGGATACTGGAATGTCCTCCAAGTGACAAGCCAGGCTACATTGATGAGGCTGATCAGTTTTACATGCATCCATCATTGTGGTTGTTAGAGCACTTTGGAAACTCTTCAGGGCACCAGGAAGAAGTTCGCCTTCCAACACACATTGTTCTATACAATGTGCTTTTACCAGTTAGTCTATCGTTTCTTATTAGCCCCAACTCCTGAGTCCTTTGCAGGCATTCATTTGGCTTGTCTTGTAGTCTTTCCTTTGAAGCAAGAGGTTGACTAGCCAAAAAAGTCCACTTTTATTTGTATATTTGCAACAAAGGCAATGTTGTGAAAAGATTCTGGATCATGATTTTGTAAGATATTAAAATGCTAACAGCCAAAATGCTACAGCTGCATCCTCTGGCCATTTTGACAGCATTAGTCAGAGGATAGCAGACATCTTAAAATTGCAAACAATTTCATTGGCAAATGTCACATTACATAAAAAAAATGACAAATAACAGTGACAATGTCTTAGTTAGCCTAAAATTGCTTTGTCATAAAAGGCAAAAAACAAGGTGCATCTAACTGAATGGTTTTCAATAATCAGATTTCAGCTTAGCTTGACCTGTATTCACAGGTATTGTTAACTGTGTTATATATGACAGAATGAAGGTGTTTCAGCGTGCTTTTGATACAGCCACAACCTGAAAAGGGTCTGAAATTAAGTTTTTGTACTGCCTGTCTTCAACCAGAAAATACTTCAACAAAAAGTACATTTTATGCAGGTTTTGAGAATTCTGCAGTTTAACTCTCTTATTACCAAATAGCTGTAAAAATTTATCCAACACAATACTGATACTGCAAACCTCAACGTCTCCAGTGTGGCCATTTGGGTGAACAATAATCGTTATTAAAATTGTATGCTTTCTTTTTTCATCACAGGATATATCAGGAGTTTTAGGAGATTTCCTTTACAGAGAGGTCAGTCTCAAACCTTGGTACATGTATCTTTAAGTTATTTGGTAGTAGGCTATTGATTTTTTGTTGTTGAATTTCAATGAAGACATTTTGTATGCATGGAAAATCTTGCTTTTTCACGACACCACATCAAAACAACAAATTTTGCAAAACTACAAAGGATACATTCTATTGTGCTGTTGTGAAGTTTGTCTGCTCTGTTCCTGCCAAATTAGTTAGAGAAAGCTGCTACCTTTGACACATTATTCATTTTAAGTTCTTTAGCATGACAGTTGTATGACTAGAAGAAAGTGATCTTGACTGGCTAATGTTTTTGTAGATGTGTATCCCATACTGTGAGAGTGAAAGACCTAAATAAAGACCTCTGCATCAGGCTTTTCTCCATTTTCCTTCCTTTAATACTCAGGTTGTGGGGCACTCAATATCATAAGAGAGTCCTGTTTTAAACCAAGTTTGTTTCACTTGCAGTGTGCAACATTTTTCCACACTCATTTTCCAGAAGGCCGTATTGGATCAGAAGTTCTGGTTTACTGCCATCAGAAAGCAATGTAACACACATCCTACACAATGTGTCAAGACATGACATGGTTGCCACAGACATCACTTTTCAAATTTCTCTGACTTTTCCCTGATAAAAATTATATAGCACTTCCCTGATCTGACCAAAATAATACAAATAGACTACAAATGTCAGATCTAGTTGCGGCTTCTGGCGTAAACTTACAGCCGTCCTGCCTTCAAGTTATTGCGCCTTTCAATAACATGTGAACTCTAAAATTCAAAGCTCAACCAACAAATGCGTTTTTTGCTATTGTCAATCAAATGTTCGGCGGCTCCTCCCAGCTTCCGACTACTGCCGAGCGTGCAGTAATCAAATCAAATCGCTGAGTACAGTTCAGACAACATAGTTGGAAGCTAGGAGGAGCTGCCAAACATTTGATTGACGGTAGCGAAAAATGCATTTGTCAGTTGAGCTTTGAATTTTAGAGTCCGCGTGTTATTGAAAGATGCAGTAAGGTGGTTCCCTAGTTTTACAATTGCACGTGCGCATAGGACGAAAGCTCAAGTAATCTGCGCGCGCTCTAAGGAAAACGTCAGTGTTGTTCAATTTTTATGACGTCAACATGAGCTCAAAAAGCAAAACTGACAGTGAATTTTCTTGCGTTTCCTTCAGTGAATTTTTTTAAATTTGGCTCAGTTGTAACCACATACTATAATAAAATACCCCTATTTTGTTAAAATCTGTTAGAGCTCATCTCATATATTTAGAAGAATGACAAATTACAGAATATAGTAGTGGAGAAACGGTCTGAACAACCTTGACTTTTTTTTGACTTTTTACCAATTCAAAATGTCGGGCAATATCGTTTCCATGACGTGGCAAAGTATGGAAAAATTTCACCAAAGTATAAAATTAATTTGAGTTTAGACCAAAATGAGGAATATATCTGCCTGTCATTAGATGAGATGTTGCCATGGTAACATTCTTAATCCAAAATTGAGAACCAAAAAATAAGCCTTATTTTAACAGTACCCATGGTGGTAAATCTCTACAGGGAAAACATTTTAAGAGAAATAAACTGAGTTTCCTTTTCTAACTCACACTCTACAGGGAGGGTGTTCGTAAATACTCTAGGGAGCCACCTTAAATCAGCTGTGTTAAATTATTGTAGTTTTTCCTGACCTTGAAGAACTTTTTTCCTGACCATTTTCTGATCTGTGGCAACCCAGCATGATGACTTGTAGTTAGTGCATGNATTTGCATTAGTCCACTAGTTGGGTGATACTAATATAAAATATACAAAGCCTTTCTTTTTTGAAAGTTAGTAGCTATCCTCGAAAGAAAACACACCTACACGTAAAGTCTCAAAACAGAACATTGTTAATAAAAAGTGTCCATTCGAAATTTATTATATTACTTTTTTCAAAGTCATAGAACGATTCATTTCTGACAAATAAATTAAAGTTTCTGCGAAGACCTTCAGTTTAATATGACATAACCTACTATAGCCGTCTTGGTAAGACAAAATATTGAATTGCTATCTTGAAATTCCTCGAACAGGCGGCTCTTCAACTGTGCCTGCTTTGTTCTTTATTTCCACAAATGTCGACGCTGAAATTGACTTCTGTTTTAGTTTGTACCTGTCCACCCAGGGTGAGGGAGAGCCATTTCTCAACGAGTACACCACCCTCCGTGAGTCTTGTTTTGATTTTAGCTGAGGCGACAGTCGTGGCTCGGATTCGCTCGGTAATGTGATCGGCTCGGATCGTAAACTGCTATTCCTTGAAGCCGCAGTCCGAGAGAGTACTGCCCCGTCTTGACAAGGTGGAGAGTTAGGATTGGGAACGAGCTCTTCAAGTGTAACTTCCTGCTGGAAGAAGATCAGTGAAACCATAATCAGTTGTTAATGTTGTCAGTACATACAACCAGGGCGGCGTAGCCAGGAAAAATTATGACTGAGGCGATGTCCATGANAAAAAAAAAAAAAAAGACTGAGGCAGTGTCCATGGTCAGGAGCATATCGGCATGGTTAAATTCTCTTCCTATAGGTATAAAACAGCCATTTTTTGACTTTCCCCTTTCAAACAAGAAACTACAGAAACGAAAAAATGACCGAAGCAAGTGCCTCGGTTTGCCTCATATTGGCTACAGTCCTGATAGCAGGTTGCTGGAAAGTTTTCGACAATCACTCGACAAAGCTCTTTAGTATAATTTGAAAATTTTACTTCATGAATACAGTAACTTAAGTAAACAACTTGATTTATCGACGGAAACACAGACACCATGGCTAATACTTCCGTGACATGCCTAAATAATAACATGCAAGCCTAATTCATGCAAATGAGACTACCTATGGCAAGGAGGGCAAATGGTTGCATTCAGATCAACTGAAGAACCTTCAAAAAGTCTCCGTTTTAAACACAGCCAATATACTCAGCAGTAAATTAAACTGATTGTTTTCATCTTGATCAAGTTTAACCAGAAAACCTTTGTTGTAAGCCGGACAATATACTGGCCGTATGCATCGGCGAGTTTTAATCATTTAGCCTGCCGCAGCCAAGCAATGTTACGAGTAACCGAACCCGGCGTAGTTTCAATATAGCTGCCAAACGTTTCAGCTATCTCAAGTTCCCGAACAGCCCACTGTTTCTCGATGCGTCTTTGATTTAAAACTTGTTTTAATTGTCAGACAACAGAAATTGGGATGTGGGCCTCAAACTGACATTCATTTTTTAACTGATTTTATCCCCGGCTGTCATCTAGACTTGGAACAAACGCTTAAATAACTGTCACTACGAAAATGCGCTAGAAATTGTCAATGGTCTCTTGAGTTAGTTTTTCTTTATTACAGATGTAATTTTTTTAATAAAAGAATCATCTGCTGGCGGGTCAAGTTATATAGAAGCGTCCTATCGCATTATCGAAGGTATACTGGCAAACGAGAGGGAAGCAAATTTTCAGATATCGATCACAGACTCTCCGTGACGTATCATAGCAGCGCCAACAGTTGAACGCAGAGATTGAGTTGCTTCTGTTTGCTTTCCATTCTCTCTTATTTTTTGAAAGATAAATTGCTCAACTCTTGATAATCACGCTGCACGGAATAAGATTTTCTAAACAATGCTAAAAGTTGCCAGGTGATTGTACGTAAAAAATCGACGAACTATGGGCCCTCTGTTCAGAAATTGAAGTTACAAATCCTGTCGATAGTTCATGGAACCTAACAACTGAAATGTTTTCTCTTTACGATTTTTCATTCCCATAACGTTTCATTAAAAGAAAAGCTGCATCTAGAAATTTCAACGAGAAATAAGATTCGCAGTAATACCACTAAATTGTGTTATAGCTGATTAGATCTAAGTAATTCAAGTATTTTCACGAAAACCAATAACACATTTCTTCGTCTCGCATTATCAGTATTAAATGCAGTGTTGCACTGAAAAATAAAGAAGACTGAAAAACATGCAGAAAGGAACAGCCCGATACTTTTTAGGCTTCCAAGCGTGAAGAAAATGTTAGCCATTTTACAAGTTTGTGCGATTTCGCCTCATAAGGGAAGTTTTAGTAGATTTAATCTTCCTTCAATATCGAACTGAAGCTGCAAAATCGGTCTTAGTTAACCGGCAGACACAGAATGTATCGCACTTTCACCAAATTTAACGGTAAGTTTTAACTGAAATTACTTCACGAGTAACGATTTCAAGATTTGTCGTGCTGTTAACTATTAAGGCAAAATGCCTCTGTTGAAAACTGGGACCGAGCTTGTCACGTGACTTACACGATTTGACCCCCCTCGAACACTGAACAAAAAGGGAACGAATGCAAAACTAATGCGAAGTCGTTGTTCTTGAATTGTATTCTGGAGTTTTTTTGTCTTTGAATAGAGTCTTTATCTACGAAAGTGTCGTTTGAATACGTTTTCTACAGCCTCACTGATTAGGGCAAGGGAAGCTTTCGAAGTCGTTTTGAAATCCCAAGAATTATCACTGGAAAAAAAAAATTGGTGAGATAATTCAAAAGATTCTTTATTCAACTCAGTCAAAAAAGGTTATGAACTAAGTCTGCCCCTCAGTCAACAACGAAGCACATTTTTTCGTCGGAAAAGCTTCCAAATGGGACCCCGTTGATGACACTGTTGTGCACCATGGCAACTTCGACCGCCAAGACTTAACGTTTGAATTACGTTATTACACATCTCCTTCTATTAACGCTAATTTAAGAAAGCAGGGACACACAAGAACGATCTTTTCTCAAATGCTTTATAACGCTGTTTTGTGTGCTTTAAACGTAGGTAGGTTAATTCTAGCCTGAGCAATAAAATTGTTATCTGTTCGGCTGTTCGGCTGTTCTAGGGGAACTCGAGTCTTCCCGAATTTATTATGGCTTTAAATAGTTTCCATTTCCTGAAAACCTTAGGTGTTATTACCTTTCCGAAAATCATAGCTGACCTTTTTTTTTCGTACCCAAAATGACATTTTTGACAATCCGAAAACAACACAAGCTATAGGCAAAATTTTTCATATCACGAAAATTCGAGATGATTAAAATCGGAGGAGATTAAAGGCCTTCTGCAAAGATATCACCCATAATTTACCGAAACTATCCATTGGGTGCTCCTGTAAAAGGTAAAAAAAGCAAACCTACTTGTTCTTCTTTGTAAGCATTGCCCAAAGCAGTGGTTGTTGATCTAACCCGGGAAGGGAAGAAACCATTGAAGATTCGTCTTGGTTTGTGCATGGGACGAATTTCTTGGAACGATTTCAGCGTGTTAAAATCGATGATTTTCGGGCAGCTGAACTGCCTCCTGTTCTTAGAATTCTTTCGTTCTTCTGCTAGCATTCTTGATTCAGTTCGCTCGCTATTTCTTGTTTGCCTGTCGTCGAGAAGCACTCCGGATTTTGTCGGTTTGTTGAAGACATTTGAGGACGCCGGGTAAAACCCTTTCTTGTCCCCAACAAAAATCTTGTCTTCGAGGCTCGGAAAGACAATAATTTTCAAGGATGTCACGGGATCCATAGCGAGGATAAACTTCTCTCAGAGGTTTGCGTGAAAAATGCTTTTGCCAGACACGGACTCCCACATTGCAAAACAACAAGATCGTCTCGTTAGGAAATGAAGCGATTAAGGAGCTTCGAATCAGCCACTTGACAATCTCTGTTATGCAAAAGACTCATTCAAGTAGGATTTGGACAAGCTGGCTGTCTGTTGATAATGAGAAAGCCACTAGCCAATTAAAAGCCAACAAGATGATTCCCTTGTGAGCTAAACTGTTGTGTAAAGGGCCGGCATAGGGCTTATTAACTGATCGGAACAAAAAATTCTGATGTCATTAGGTGAGCTAGAAAAGAGTCTTTTCAACCGTGCGATAACAATTACCGGCACGGTCTTTTTTTTGTCTTGAAGCCAGTAACCTTCTCTATTGGAAAGTTGTTTGTGTGTGTATCCTGAACGGTAAGCGATCGCTTTTTTAGTTCGAGCTCAAGACAAATAACGGACGTTCACCGATATACGCGAATAAACAGTATGAGAATGATATATAAATGATTCCACTTCGCTTTTGTTGGCGAGGATTAGTGAATTAGATAATCATTGAAATTTATGCAGATATTTTTCGTTGCTGACGCCGACTTTTGTTTTATTTTTAAGTAGTTTGTTTTTCTGAATTGATCCTGATCCTGCTAGAATGATTTCTTTTTAAGGACGAAAACAGCCCTGACAACGGGTGTTTCTTTTAGAAAAGCAGTTTGGTTTTGTGTAACTGGGAAGGTCTTACTGCTCGAATTTTACCTGGACCTTTTCACGCTAATTTCACGTTGCTCTCACAATGAACAAAACTAGAGCCTCGTTAAAAGACTTTTAATTTCAAAGTAATGGAGCTTATTCATCACACCTATATTGCAATGTTAACCTTGTCATCTAAACTTGCGGAAAATCACTTTGAGCTATTCATATTAATATTACAGATGTCGCTTTTAATTGTTTGGGAGTAGTTTGTACGGAAATGAGGATCCACGCCTATCCTAGCACACAAGACTTTCAGTCCGAATGTTTTTCGGCATGTCCTGGAACGCAAAAGAGATAAAGTCGATGAAAAAAATCTTAAATTTTAAACGAAAAGAAAAGAAAAGAACGGGAAAATAATGTTACAAGTCTTAATCCCAGACCGCGACGACTTAGGCCATCCTCATAAAATGTTGCGCCTCCCATCGTCGACCGATCCAGCTTTTTCTTCTTTTTCCTCGCGCGTTCCAGGTTTGATTTTTATTCTTAAGAACGTTTTAGAACACCTTTTAGGCCTTTTAGAGTGATATCGGCTCGTGCCAAACTTGCGGTCTTAGTGAAGATGTAATCAAGTCTTCCTTTCAATTATTTTTATGCTTTAAAAATTGTCAAAATTTTTTCTCGACATATCGATATCTTTCCTTTTTTCAGTCCTTTAAACGACCGAACTGACCCAGTTTAACGAAAGAGGGGGTGATGGGCGACTAAAAACTTTTTCCAGGGATGGTCCAGTAGGAAATACAATAAATATAATAGTTTGAACCAAATTTATATTAAATATATTTAACTTCAGTTTTCATTAAATTCTAAACTAAAATTGTCTTTGAGCTCATTACAAAAATTGTAAATTTTTATCAATTTCGAATACGTGCCCGTAAACAATTATGGTGAAAACTTCTGTTACCAGCATTCCTGACTGAGATTGGATGAAAAGCAGGAGGTACTAAGAAGTAAGCACTCGAGGTATCTTAAGAAGACGCGACCTACCAAATGTTTCAAATTGCGTCAAAACTACAGTCATGTAAGTCGCGACTTTCTAAACACGAGGCGTTAATAATGTATGGATAGCATTACGGGTGAGCAAAATCGTTACCAAGAAACGTTCCTAACTTTTGATGCAGACTAACCCACCAAACATGATTGACTTTTTAAGTCCAAGTATACTACCAATTAAGACCTGATTCCAGGTGATATTCACAAAAGACGTGTCTAAGCTTAACTCTAAACAGAAGCACCGATTTGAGGATAGAGTGCGAGCAGTATCTCGTTTCGCTCCTCTTCCAACGAGCACTGCTCGCGGCTCACGGGCGGATCTGGCGGGAACGTGCAGGGGTGCCCCCCCCCCNGCCATTCCTTAGTGGTGCACCCCCTCCTAAGATAAATCCTGGATCCGCCCCTGCGGTTCATGGCTTCGCCGCTCGCCAACACTCGTTCGTTTGCGTTCTTCCCCGCGGATTTTCGAGCCAGAGAGAGACTGGTCGCAATCTAAGGCCACACTAGGCCGGGAAAAGTAATTGAAAACGCAGTTTTGTTTCTACGGTTACTTACCGTCCACACTAATCCGTCACGAAAACGGAGCTTCAGTTTTCGAAAACGCTCTTCAAACTGGACGAATTTGAAAACTCCGGCTTTTTGTTTTCGTGGGACAAACTATTACGGCGGGAACGGGAAACATTTTGAAAACGGAGTTTTTCAAAAACGATGGCATGTGATTTTCCTGTTCGAATTTTCCTCAAACACCAATATCCAAAATGGCCGGTCTTCGGCGTAGTGTGGACGGAAAACATTTCTTGCGTTTTCTGAGTGAAACCTCCGTTTTAAAATTCTTCAAGCGTAATGTGGACGGGGCCTAATTTGTGGACACAACCGATTATGGCTCCTGACACAACCCATATAGGTAATTTGAACTTTATATAATGGACATTGATAGATAAAATAGGATCCGCTGCTGTGCAGTTCACCTAATTAGTAATATGGGTTAATTGCATCCTTTTAATAGAGCAGACACAGTTTATATAGAGTGTTCTGCATGAGGTTTAAATGGAAGCTGAGAATTTAACTCCTTCCGACAAGTAATGGGCGACCATAAGAGCTGGTTAAAATTTTAAAGAAAGGCTGAGAAATTATTGGGGGGAGCCAACAAATCAATACTTTTTCTACCGTTTTCTATTATCCGGCGGCTAATTCGGTTTTCGCTCATTCGTCATATAATCTGCCTGCGTCGCCTTCAGGGATGGATCGGATGAAATAAATATGTAAATAGACAGTTCAACCTCTAGTAACGGGCCACACTGGAGGAAATGAATAGTGGCCGCTTTAAGGGAGCTGGCTGCTTAATAGAAAAACAATAGAAAAGCCCTCATCGGCTTTGATTACTATGATTACTGGTCGCCCAATAGCGGTGGCCGTTTAACAGGTGGCCGCTTAATCGGGGTTCGAGTGTGTGTTATTGAACAAGCGCGAGGTCCGTATTGGAGACACATTGGTCGAGTTCTTTATTTGCAGGTTTATGAACCTCGCCTGCCACTCGGTCTATAAACCTGCAAAAACAGTAATCTCCAGTACGTGCCGAACAAGCTGGTTCAATAAACTATTTATCACAATAGCTCTTCTTAATCTACTAATAAATTGATGCGTCTCCGCGATAAATGACGCGCGTGTGAAAGCTAAGCATTTATTTACTTTTCTCAAGTCGCTTTTGTGAACATTTAACTGAAACTGTCCTCCAAATTCCAAAAAACACTCTTTATTTTATGGAATGAATCGAGAACGCAATTTGCCGAAAGTATTTCTATCTTAGCGGTCTGTATTACAAAAGTCTGATCATTAAGGGAACCAATCAGAATTATTCTTTTCATCGCGGACCAGCTCAGCCATATAAGAACTTTTTTTTGTATGAGAATATCGTTTTTCCGGACCAGACTGAATATACTTATATTTCTGCCGATTTTAGGTTGAAAAAATTCTTGTGAATAATCTTAGATTAGAGCGTATGTCCTATCATGACTTTGATGGCATTGAAGTAAGTCTGGAGTCAGACTGCAGGCAATAAAACCTGATATGACAAACGTAATTTCTTACAGAAATGTTACTAGCATCGAACATGGCTTTCCTTTAGTACCGCAGTCGGCAACAAATTCCAAACAAGTAGAAGCTCACAATATATCTTTAAGACATTTTTTGGCAGACATTTCTACATCTGGGTATCAATGTTACATGTAACCTGCCAGAGGCCACAGAACCTGACAAAACAACAATCAAACTGGCATCAAAATTAACAACCTTTATTTTAAACAGCTGTACAACTATTCGCGCAATCGCTCACGAGGTGTTTTGCCCTTTTTTTTTGAGTTGACAAAGAACACATTGTATAGCTTTAACTGACAGCACAGTTTAATAGTTTTTACATATCTTCAGTGTTTTGACGCAGATGCTTTGTTATTTTACAGGACGTTTCAGCAATGTTGAATTTAATGGCATTTAGTTCCAAGATCCTTATGAATACGCCATCGGCGAAATGTTATAAACGTAATACAAGTAAAGAAAAATAGTTTAAAACTGAGGCAACTAAAATAACCTAGCGGTTACTACAAACTACTCTGCCAGAAAGAGCTTAGAAGGCCTACGGATATACTACTGTATCCAAGGCTAGGTGCTGTGAAACTTTTCTTGGGATGTCAGTGAAAAGAAGAGGAAAATGCAATCTAGGGAAAAAAGAGAAGATTAGTCAAGAGGTACAGAAAAAAACTGTAGATTGATCAAAATCACTTTAGTTATGAGATAAGATAATCAAGCTGTCAATGGGAAATACAAAAGTAAGCAGCAGATGAAAGTGAGCCTTTTAAGACAAAAATATTTTTTATCAGCTATATACTTAGTCTTACCCATCGTGAGTCCATCTTACATCATAACTGAAGTCTTAGTCCTCTGGCCTATGTGGTGGATTCCCACAAGGTTGAAGCATTTTCTAAAACAAAACAAACTCAGTAAAATACTAATCAAATTAACCCTACATCCTGTTTTGTAACAAAATTATTCAGTCCCTTGCAGGTGAAAACAATATGATCAATGCACCTACATGGCGTAAGTGCCTCCTTTTGTATATCAACATGTCATTACTGTGCCTTTCAATAACACGTTAACTCTGAAGTTCAAATCCTAACTATTGCTTTTTTGACTGCAAACAATCATAACAACCAACGAACCTTAAAAAGTGGACACAACAGAAAAAAGATCTAAATCTACCAATCATAACCCACAGAAATGTCCTTTTGGACCCAATGAAAAAACCCTCTGTTTCCTAAGAGGTCTGCAAGATGATTAACCGCAGTGAAACACAAAACCATTGATTGAGCAGAGTTCATGCGTCATTAAAAGGTGCAGCTTTATTGTTTCTTGTTTTATCTATTGTTCTGTTTCTATTTTGTCATCTTGACTGTAAACAAACGTAAACAGACCAACAATCAAATAAATAATACAACAAACCAGTAATTAATAACAATATTTTTTAAACAATTGAGAAGATCATTTAAAGAAAAATAAACCTTGCAGCAGGGTGAACCCTAACTATGACAAAAACATTCTAAGAAACTACTGAATACTATGTGACAGTACCTCTAAAAGGTTAAATTTGGTCCTGGCTCTTGTTTCATTCTCAACTAAAGCAAAGTAATCCAGTAGGTTATAATGTCCAATGTAAGAAGCTGAACTGTCTCTGTGCTGATTCACCAGCCACTCACTGAAAATAACAGATGTGGTAACAAATTTAAGAAAACATAAGATATCCCAATAATTATTTAGTTTGATTTTGTAGCATGTAATATTTGGAGAAATAAAAGGAACATGTGAGAACATTGTTACTAGTAATGATGATAAGGTATAGTCTGTTCTAACACTAGGTCTCAAGGATGCCAGATGGTTCACTGGTGCTTGAACTTAGAGGGACTGTGTCACAACTGAGTTTAGTCTATTTTATATGGATCTAAATGAAAAACCATAACATGGCTTCATTACAAACAGATACGCAACTCTCCCAAGTAAAGATAGGTAAAGTCTGCATATGAGCCAAGTGGCCCATTTGGCTGGAGTTTATCCAAGTTTCTGTAGCATGAAGTGCTATGTATGTATCATGTTGACACTTGGCAAAAATTATACCTGTTGCAACATGTAATCCTGTCAATTAATGTTGCTTTGTTTATTTATTTAGAGTTCCAAAGTTCTTTTCTACTATTTCTGCATTAAAGTGTGTGTTTAAGTAAAACATTGGCATGGTGCTCAAGTGACCTTTAAACTAAATACAAAAACACTGAATAGCAAATTGGATATATCATTTGTTCCCTCTTCACATGCAGAAGTCAGTAGATGAATAATTATTATGAAAAAGTAGTACTTACAATTTTGTTGTGTCTGAATGGCCAGTGCCAACATACTTTGATTGTACTGAAAGAAAAGGAAAGTTTAATCGGTTATCCAGGGTTGTAGCTAAGAAAATAGTCTCCTGTCTAAGATTTTCATTGAGCCAGTCACCATTTTTTGCGAGAGGTCTGGAACAAAATTTTTGTCCCCAATCTTTTGCAATGCCTTGAATGCAGGGCTACCAAGCTTTGCATCTACAAGATGGCGGACACAGTACAAAGAAAGAAAACATGTTAAACAAGTGCTCAAAACACGATTTTATTTCAAGTACTTTACTTTTTATTGTGGCACTGATACTCAAGGTAGTCCGGAATTTATTCCATATTTTTCATTTTGATGGTTCAGATATCGCATGATTGTAGGTGAGTAACCTAAAAACTGTTTGTTGTCCTTTTACGGAGTGATCACCCGCCAAAATCCAGCCTGCGATCAACTCTTTCTCAGCGGTGAAATTTGCTGGCAGCGGGTGCTTAGCGACAACCCTGGTTATCATTAAGCAATAACACAAATTAGAGCGGTTTTCATTTGAGTGTCGAAACGTAATTGGTTTTGCATCAACTGCGCTACACCATTGGCCTAAAATACTTGTGCCACTTTTTCATCCAATCAGAAGTAAAACCAAAACCAATCATGTTTCACTCGCACTTGTTTTCCCACACTTTGATTGGAACTTTGATTGGTTTACTGGATTGTACTCAGGTCCATAAACCCAGGTTGAAAACCTCTCTTCGGTTCACGCTGTACTCAAAAAGCTGGTATCAAGGACACTTTATACTTACAATGTTCAAGTTGACTGTGAATGTTGTATCTGTCTGTCTGCAATATAGCAACAACAAAAAATGTCACTACAACTTGTTTCTACGTTAAACCTGATCCATGCAAACTGGCCAGTAAAGGTCATATTACTATATGGGCAAATGATGACAGGCGAATCAAGTTTTAAAACCAAGGGTCTACACACTGAAATGAAATAGGCCGTACGAGACTGGCTTGTAACATGGCCAGTTTTAGTTACTGCTGTGAACTTCTTACTTGCTTAGATGTTTTGAACTATTTGATCCTACTGAAACTAAACATAAATTATAAATCACTCATAATAATTTGCAAACTGTAGGTGGAAAAAACAATAAAAGGATCAACAGTAAATCCAGGTACATGTACTGCTAAAATCGTTTTCATGTGCTGAGCTGGTTTCATTCATTCTCGTGCACTGTCTTGTTAAACTTATAAGCTCTTTGTACGAAGTTAAATATAATTTTAATGTTATTATGTTTTTGCACGGCCCCACGAGCTACTGAGCTTTAATATTAATCATACTTTAAAGGTTGTCTGTCTGAGCCAACAACAAACGGAGACAAAATGGAATAGTTTAATTTAAGTAATATCTTGCATACTTTTTCGACATAATTTATGGATTCTAACTGCCCAGAGTTTAAACGAAAAAGAAAGCCTCTCACAGAGCAATTAAAGAAAGCTAAAATCACACAAATTACTGAGATACAAACTGTTAACACTCACCATTTTCGTTGTCCGTTCGAAGTCAATATGGCGCTGTGTCACGTGGCCGTCAAGAAATCTCGGCGGCTGCCCGGCGGCTGTACTTATCGACGCATGCTTACTGGGCGCCAAATTCAAAATGGCGGTTCGAACTGAGGATTTTTCGAACGCCGAACAGCAAATTGATGGCATTACGGGCGAGAAATACCGGGAAATTGGTGATCAAGCAGTGTGGTCTTTATCGTCATGTAAACCTGGTTTCGGAGTAGAGCAGCTTCGCGATGGAAACTTAGAAACGTACTGGCAATCCGATGGACCACAACCGCATTTGATCAGTATTCAGTTCCGGCGAAAAACGGCCATCCAGAACATTTGTCTGTACGCCGATTACAAACTAGACGAGAGCTACACACCAAGTAAAATATCCATTCGTGCTGGAAATCATTTTCATGACTTACACCAGATAGAACTGATAGAGCTAGAGGAACCCAATGGCTGGTTAACCGTATCATTGTCAGATGGGGACAAACCTTTACGAACTTACATGTTACAGATCGCTGTTTTGGCAAATCATCAGAATGGAAGGGACACTCACATGAGGCAGATCAAGATTCACGCGCCTTTAACAGACACTGGAACGTACAAAATGCCGACATTCACTTCTGTGGAGTGTGCTATGTACAGCACAATCAAGTAAAGCTGTTTAGTGTTTTTAACCCGATTAATTCAAACACTGACTGGTCGGGAAGTTTCATTACAGTAGTATGGGTTTGAAACTATATGGTGCTATTGTTAACTGTGCTAGACTACAAAATACGGGGCAACTTTAGTACTTGCATCTTGTTAAACGAGAATAGCATTAATTGTGTTAGGCCTCTTTCTGCAAAGCAGTCCATCACATGTACACACAGTGAGGTGGACCAATTAGACAACAGTGCACAATGTAATCTTCAATGCTATTAAGTTATTGATATCTTACACAACTGTTGTGCTATGTCTGGTGGGGTAGGGATTGGGGGGGATGCAAAAGGATGGCAAGTATCAGCTATGATAAATTAACCCTCTGAATATATGAAATGCTGATGTTTCAAAAATAGACCTTTTTTAGTTAGAGACCATGACAGCTGGTATCTGTTGTGTTGGTTCAAAATTACCCTTGGTTCCATTTGTTATTTTCTTTTGTTTCATGTACATATGACCATACACCAGAACAAAGGAAAACACTCATGATTTTCTTTCTCAGTCCAGATCCTTGTTAGGCCACTACATTTTGCAGAATAAACTGGTGAATTTATACAGACAGTCTATAAAGACATCTGACATCCATATGAGAGAGCTAGCAGTTTAGAGTCACAAATTTTCTTTATTGAAAGTCATTAGCTTTTCTTTGATAAGTGATTGCTTGTACAAGCTTTATTTCAGACCTGTGATTTGCTTATTTACATCTAAAATGACTTAAGTTATATTTTATTCTCCAAAACTTGATAAAATTGTGCTCTTGTTGTCTTTCACATTCTTCAGAGAAAGTTGTTGTGGGTAGTTAAGAAATACATGATAAAATAATTGTACTAGAGTATAATTGGATTTCCTTAATATGGTAAAAATGCTAAAAATAAAATAGCTTTTGGTCTACTTGTTAAATATTTTCCAAGTCCATTAGTTGTAACATAATTTCAGTTCAATGAGAATGACCTTACTATTACAGTTGCTTTTATCTTTTATAGAAAGGGGAAGGTGATTTCTCGATTTTTATTATGGATGAATGAGGTTATTTTTCTAGCAGGAAAGAAAAGAGTGAGCCCGATTGTATCTAGCAGAGGAAAAATGTTTTGGCAAATTCATTATTTTACAAACTGTTGCTAATCCCAACAAATTGTCCACTCATGGTTGTTTAACTGAGTTTAAGATCATCAAATGCCTGACTGGCATCATCTACAACACTTGCTTGATTTATTTCATTATTTTGTGTGACTATGAAGGCATCATTATCATTGTTTTGTGTTCTGCAGGAACAGTTTTTCAATTCTTCAATGTAATGCTGCCTAAGATACTCTCTAGATCTGATGTCTGCCTGCAAACACAATGAAGTAAGGAGAAAATGATAAAAAGATTATCACAATGGCATTGTTCAGTTTAATTTGGAATGAAAAAAGGGAGTGCTCTGTCACACTATTAGAAGTAATGTTCACTGTAACCTGATAAGGAAATGGGACTTGCCAAGTTTACAAAAGCCCGATTCTCAGATGGACAGAGCAAGTAGCTGTGAGCAACGTGGGCTGTCTAAGAATCAGGCTTAGTTTGCAACAACTGACTTTTGGAAAATTAACTGTGGTTGTTTGCCTGTAAACACTGGGTTACAAACAGGCCACCTAGACTGTTTTTGTGTTATGGGTGTGACTACAGACTGTTATGTTTCAACAAAAGCAAAGTTTTGCTAGGAATTTGCAAAAAAATTGATGGGATCTAGAAAAAATGTATCTGTGAGCAGAGATAGCCAAACGCAATTCAAAAGACAGTAAATTTTCAATACTTTAGTTTCTTACTTGTCTGATGGGTTCAGGTATTCTATACAGACAGCAGGCATGTGTCAGACTCACGGCTGTTTCCAGTCCTATCTTATGGCCTACTGACACATAGATAGGGTTGAAAGCTTGTTGAGTGCTTCTTAAAGCCTAAAGATGTACAATGAAATGGTCAGACAAATAATCTTTAGTTAGCTCTTGGTAATGGAAATGGAATACAATATTTCAGTTTATAAGTCTGCAGTGCACAGTTTGCAGATGTCATTCACTGAACATTAACAGCTTCACCACCAATGCTCTAATAGAGAATCTAACACGTCAAACAAAGCAGACAAAATTCTGTTTGCTTTGTGTTTACTGTTTTTACATGCTTCCTTATGTGGTACCTGATCCAAAATGTATAAGTGCCCTCTTACCTTGCCCCAGGTGATACCAGAAGAGCCTAACAGTGGAAAACTATCCCCACCAGTTTTCAAAAGGCTTTTAATCTGTTAAAAGTGGAACAAAACAATCATCAAATTTAAATTACATTTTTTTATTCCCACACGCAAATTATTAAGGCCTCAGCCAAAAATTATGTTCATTCAATGTCATAGTGAAAACTACTCAGTCTGTAGAATGGTGGAAGGGTTTGTAAATAATAATAAAAAACTGTTAAGTGAAGCAAGTGTTGAGGTGCAGAGACTGATGAACGTTATAATTTAATAATAATAATTGCAAGTGCCTACACTCGTACTTCACTCACTGGATTTTCCCCTTACCTCCCCCAGACTGTCACCAGTATTTGTGCAACTTATGTTTCCAATCTTGTTGATGTCCTTATTTCTCTGGGTTAGGTCAATTCTTAAGTTTCTTCCAACAGTCTGATGAATCACTTGTAATTGATCCCTCACCTGCTCAGCATGTTTGGAGTCTCGCCCTATCCCGTCCACATGGAAAAGGGTCTTGGCCACACCTATGGTAGGAATATCTGTCAGAACTCCAAGGTGGCATGCAATCCCAAATCCTACAAATTCAAGATACCAAGTTTGCTGTGAAAACAGTAATAAATCTAAACAGTTTATTTTTTTTCAAAAATTCCTGTCAACATACTTGTTCGGAGTATAAAGAAAACCAGTTTTCAAACTTACACTTTGTACAAGTTGTTATGATGTACCAGCCCCCAAATCGCTTGACCTAACCCCTATAAATTCCTTAGTAGCAAGATTAATATTAATTTAGACATTTTCCCCAAAAATCATCACTTGCCCACCAGGCAAGGAAAGGACAGAATCCATTCCACTAGCCTGAATACCAATTCCACTAGTCCTGGGTTACCATGCACACAAGTTTCTTTGCCCCCTGCTTGTTGAGCAAAATATTAATGTTAAATAATTAAATTTTAATTTTGGGATAAGGGCTCAAGTTTATTATGGCAAATATAACTATCTGTACCTCTTGGATGCAACATCCCATTTCCATCAACTAGAATGACCTTCAAAAACAACAGAAACAAATTGCTAAGTGTTGCTGGTAACTATCATGAGAAATATCAACCCTTATGATTTCATATCAAATTTTGAGTCAAATGAGTCATTTACTAACTGATTTAAAACATCTGTTGCCATGTCTTATATTTTTGCCCAGCTCAACATACACAATAATATTTCTCTGTATAACTGATAAACAATCAAAAGCAGCATGCTGAACCCAGGTAAACAACTGCCTTTCCTCCAGGGTTTTACCAACATCCCTTGACAGGTTGTCACATTCTCTTGGCAAATTAAAACACGGCTGATTTTCTCTGACCTGTTGCAATATCAATAACAAAGATATAAGTGACCTCACCTATTGTTATTAATATGCCAACCAGAGAACTATTGGCTGATGAAACAAAGGATTCTTTTGTTTAACGTTTTGAACATTTAAATAACAAAAACAATGTTTGTAAACAGATATCTTCACTATATATCTTTGAATTTATTGAAATTAAAGTGAATCTTGAGGTTTCAACAAAAATTGTCTGGAATGTTAAAAAAATCCCAAATTATTCTAGTTTTGGTATATTTGTAGTTATAATGACCTAACAGTCCTGCAGCTCAGGGGTGGAATATAATTTTGACTCTTTACTACAGCCAGATAATTCTCTCCAAGGATGTCACAAAAGAGAGATATTCAGCTGTATAACTAACATTTATAATGTAGTGAAAAAACTATTAAATCACCTGAGGAAGTAACTCTGGTTTGCTTTTTCCTACTTTGGAAATTGCATCAACAAGAAACCCAACCTCTCTGAAAGCCAGATATTCTGGAACATAAGGTGATGTTAGATGTACCATGGTTAGATCCTCATATAAAACCTGCAATGGTAAATAATTTATGAAAACATGTTAAGTTATAAGCAGTGTCATTTTCAGGAAAAAAAAAATTAAACTGTCAAAAAGAGTAATAATATGGTACATACAAATGTTAATACAATAACAACAATAATATTAATAATAATATATCTTAATTGACCACTCCTCCAATGGGGCTTTTCAGGGCCAATGAAACCAAATGTGGACTCAAATAATTCATAAAAGAGGTAAAAAACATTCTCTGGTAAAATTGTTTAAAGTTGTGAGCTTTCAACAGCCAGTCTGCTGTCTTCGATGGACAAAACTGAAATGATAAAATAGACCTAAAAGTTTTTTAATATAACAAGCGAATGGCATATACTAAATAGAATATGTGTGAAAGAATGTGAGAATGCTAAAAGTGTAAAATTAGTGTTTGTTTAAAAGAATGTTATATTGTCCTGGCAGAGGGCACGAATTGTTGTCAGCCTCGACCGTTTTCGCTGTGTGCCAGGATTCCAGCATCTTTCTAATGCGGCTGTTGTCTTTGTCAATGATCTCAGCATTGTTAAAGTCGATGGTATGATCAAAGGTCCAAGTATGTTTCGCTACATAATGGAGCCTTTAGCACATTGTTTGGTATTTCTGATATGTTCTTTTTGTCTTGTACTAAACGATCTTTTTGTCTCGCCAATGTAACTCCAGGGACAAGACCCACAAGGGATTTTGTAAACAACATTGCACTGGTTGTCGATCCGAGGTCGAAACTTAGGAACAGGGAACTCTTGTTGTAGCGTTTTGATTGGTTTGTTGGTTACTCGAATATCATGACTTTTGAGAATTCTAGAAAGAGGCTCAGTAATACCTTTGATGTAGGGAAGGACCGCGAAGCTCTGACTATTCGTTGGGTCAGTCCAACTGAAGAACATCCCAACTAGTTCTTCAGGTGGAGGTGTTGGAGGAGTCAAAGATTTCTTTCTTATGATATCAGCAGTGACTTTTACCAGAGAACATTTTTTACCTCTTTTATAATGAATCCTGGTATTGGATCTTCAATATTTTCAAATAATTCAAATGAACATAACATGGTTACAAATCCCAACTGGTAGGAGGCAGACCAGTTGGCTATGTACAAGCATGACCAAGGAGTTGAACCAGGGTCTATACCGAGAAACAAATCCAGCTTAGTGGTCAGAGCGGGACTTGAACCTGTGACCTCCAGATTTCAAGTCTGGCACCCTAACCACTCGGCCACGCTGCCTCCTCGATTCTCTTAGATCAGGAAATATTATGCAGCAAGTGGGAGATGCCTTGTGAAGATACCCTGTAAGATGTTCAGGTTCAAATTATCTCAGGTTCTCCCTTAAGTAGATGGAACAATAAGCATGCAGAGAGAAGCATCTGTTGACTTAAGTTGCCCAATTAATGCTATACTTTTCATTGGGTTATTTTTAGGTTAGGGAATGCATGGGTATGGCCGGGGCATGGAGAAGGTAGATGGTTCATCAGTGCTGAAGCTGTTTTCCAAAGCATGAGGAAGTGACTTGAAGTATAGTAGGCACCTGTTCATCCCAAAGGAACAAGGAGTTGTGCCTCTGGGTGTCTCTGGATGTCACACTCTGAAACAGCAGCTGCTGTGGCTGTGGAGACCAGGGGAAAGAGAAGGTTCTGTTCTGTGAACTTGCAGCATGGCCTCCCTATTGGCTCTTTTCTTTTCTGACTGTGGTGCAAGGTCCCTTTTGAACTGGGCAAGTCCGCAGTCTGAACTGTCTCCAAGTGCATCTGTCAGTTGCAACTACCTCCCAGGGAACCATGAAGTGACTAGAAGTGTTGTTACTAGTCAAAAATTGGATGCTAGCCTATTGTCAGTTATTACCACCTTCCATCAAGATTTTACCATCCGATGGTACCTGTTTTGGCTAGCAGTTATTATATCCATTCAAGGAGAGTCGAGGAACAGTGAGAGTATAGTGGGTTATCGAAGAAAGTCTAAGAACAATACAGTGATTCCAGCCAATGCTCAAGCCCTGGATAATTTAAGCTTATTGATCCAGAGTCCACTTCGCTGACCATAAGTTTTGGGCAAAAGAGTTTTACAAATAAAAATTATCTTTATTATCGTACCTCCAGTTCTGGGAAGCTCAGCACCACCAAGCAAGCACATGCATGATCTGAATCGTCTTTGGGAAAAGAGATGTCAACTCCACCAATCAGGTTTAATTTATTAAAAGGATCTTCAGTAGAGTCTCCCCATTTAACAAAGTCCTCAGTAACAAGTTTCTTCTTGAGCTCAATTTGTTCCCTACAAATATAATTTTTTTTATGAAGATCATTTTAAAGGTAATGAATGGTAAAATTCAATTGCTGAGATGCAGAGACCCTTGATTAAAAATCCTAGACTGAGAGAAACACACTAAAATGAGATTCTAGAACTTGGAGAATTTTTTTTTAAGTTTAAGTGACAATCAGAGTTAGGATACACCTTACCTTTTCCATGATTCAACGATGTTATTTTCCACGGTCACTTCGGTATCATTTATGGCAGCCATTTTGATGTTGGTTGCGTCAGCATTTGTAACCGATTCAGTTTCATTGCAACAGTTTCTGCGAGTAAAATAATTCTCTTTCAGCGAAACACCAGACAAAACAAAATATTGCAAGATTTCATAGAGCTTTGCATCAGCCTGATCACAAATCAGCTGAAAATTTCCCGGGAAATCATAGACAATGCGCGGGATGGCGCGCGAAGCTAAAACGTGAAAACGAGGCCCTAATCTCCATGGAAACAAGTAACCACATAAAAGATAGTACAGCGCCATCTTTGTATGTTTTGGAGCTAAAAATTGGGATTTTTTTTGCATTTTTGTCTTTTGTTGAAGTATTTATTCAATGGCAGAAAATCCAGAAGGAGGTGCAGCACAGGAAAGTGGAGGATATGATTACAAAAGACTACACAGTTACCCCTTGATCCGTGTAAGTCGATGGAATGTCAGTTGCAAAATAAGCTTTTTGAAAGCTCCATTTTCCATACACCGTATAAAATCTCAATGTTCTTCCTTGACATTTAAATTTCAGTACTCGGACATGAATGATGAAATGCGAACTGAAGCAATGGAGCTCTGTGTAACAGCTTGTGAAAAGTTTTCAGCGAATAACGAGGTTTGTCTAAATTAGTTACAACTCAAAATAATAAGCTTATCTTAGCCGTAGGTTATCTTTAAGCGAGTTGAAAAGATTTCAACTCAAGTTATGTAGTTGCCATGGAGTCTATATCTTCTGTCATTTCTGCTTCACTTTTGACACCTCATCACTCTTTTAATTATATAATAATTTCTTACTTCTAATGACTTGTATAAATTGTGTTACAAGTGGTGCATGGTGTAATTAGTCTAACTAATAAAGTTAGAATTTTTATATAATTTCAAGTTTTGTGCAGGTAATATGTCACTCAAGGAGTACACTTGAAGAACGTTAATAGACAGTGATAATGATGATAATAATAAAAAGATGGTACATGTTATAATCCAGACAACACAACACCTCTTTTCAGACCACATGGTGCCCAAGGTCGTAATGAGAACCTCAGGCAACAAGAGTCAATTAACTTATAAGGCTATATGGGCTATGCCTATGCAAACGTTTTGAGAATAAAATTGACTTACACTGTTGCTGCATTTGTATTCTTTGTTGTTTACCAGCTTTTAAGGCTGCATCAAAGAAATTACTTGGAGTGAGTTACTGGTTTACGAAGATTTCAAATTCCAAACATGTATACTTAAGCAAATATTCCCAAGGCAGGAAACATTAATTTTTAACCATGCCTCACTCAAAGCTCAATGAAATCGATAGAAGTTTGTCAAATGTTCGACAGCAAATAGCATGTAATTTATCTACCGTTTTAGTTTAATTCCCAGATACATACTGTGGTTTAAACTGTAGGGATCAAGCACTCAAAAGTGTTGCCACTTCTTTTCTTAACCAATGTACCTGGCTGTTTGAACCTTGAACAAAATGGTGTCGTGTTGTTAAAATCACCATCAGATGAGAAGGGTGTAGCAATATTGCCATTCCAAAAAAAAGAAAAAAATAGACTTTGGAGCTTAAAAGTCTGACTTAAAAGTCAGAACATATACCTGAAAAGACCATGGAATGTTATGCCAAAATTATAACTCAAGACTTTATTTAAATTTTGAAATCATGTTTGTTTACAGGCTGCTGCAAAGATGATAAAAGAAAGCTTGGACAAGAAATTTGGCTCTTCCTGGCACGCAGTGGTGGGTGAAGGATACGGTTTTGAGCTCACACATGAAGTCAAGAATCTTCTCTACATGTATTTTGGAGGGACTGTAGCAGTTTGTGTGTGGAAATGCTCCTGAAATGACCATTATTTTACATGAAGATTTATCTGTTGTTGGAACAGTTACATGTACAAGACTAACATACAAAACAATATTGCATGCTTAATAGGCAATACTGAAATAGTGATTGTTAGGACTCTTTCTTCCTCTACCAAACAAGGAGACTCTATTTAATTTTAACTGTCAAGAGTGAAGATAAGGTGAATGTGATATTTGAATTTCTTGGTATCTTCATTAGAAGAGGTTTGACTGCCTGCTCAGATCTTTTATTCACCAGTCAGTCTAGCATATGTCACTTTTACTTTGGTAGCTATTGAGAGAGCTTGTTTTTCATGTAGCACTTGAGCATTAATGTTTCATGAAGGTCTTCTTTGCAACACAAGCTACATTGTGCTCCAAACTCAACTTAATTTGTTTTGTTTTTGTACACTGATATTTGTAAATAATGTACCAAAAGTAATGTAGAAACCTCATTCAAGCAAATAAAATAATGATTTCTGCAAAAAATAAAAAAAAAAAATAAAAAAAAAAATAATAATTTCTGGATGATTTAGTATGACCACTGAAAATTAAACTTATTGTAGTTGTCCGTGTCTATGCTTATTTACATTATATACTGTAAACACCATTAATTTTATCTCTTTAGCATTTAACAATTATTGTTAAATGGCAAAGTTAAAAATAATGGTATTTACAATAATAATTTAATATTAAAATGTTAGATTGTTTTACAGTTGATCTCAGGTTTAGGACACTAATTTTTCTTCCTTGTATTTTGATTGAGTTAATCCACTCTGACAACTTGTGGTGAACAGGATAATATTAACAAGTTGTAAATTCTTTGCCAAACTTTACTTTCAAAAAAACAGAGATTCCCCATATTTTCCCAAGCACAGAAGAGAAGACATCTCTGTCTTTCAGTTTCACCTCCATCTTGGCAGGACTGATAGCAAGATTACACCTGAACAATTTTTGTACGACTCAAAATACCATGGGGACAAAGAAAGTGTACAATTCAATCAATCTATAGATAAATCAATAGATAGATAATAAATATGTAAATAAATAATTAAAAACAAATAAGTAGGAATTTAAAGTGGGCACATCCCACAGAGAGGCCCTTCCTCCACTGTTTCCAGATCAAATTGGAATTTACTGCTAGTAGTGTTCATTCTTTTTTGGTGGTGGGGCGGGGGAAGGGTTTGGGGTGACCCAGAACTCAGAGAGTGGTAAAAACAGCAGAGTAACATCACTTTTTAAGGGCCCAATAACTGATCTTTTTGAGCCGTTGCTAAGGAAAATTTATTCTCATTTAACCTCATCATTTTTTGTTAGTTCAGGGTTATTTCATGTGTTTTAACTTTTTCATGATCAGTTACACTAGTGATGACGTCCTCAGGCCACGCCCATGGTCATGTGATTAATACTGAACAAATGCAAAAGCTCCCAGGTAAATTATTTTATCAGGATTTTTTTCATTGATTTAATATTTTAATTTAAATCCTTATTACGCTATGCATAGATTTTGTTTCATTTCTAAAAGTTCAGATTATGAGAGAATTTCAAAATATTGAAAAATGCGTAATTTTCTGAAAAAAGCATGATTCCAAAAAAGGAATGCATAGTTATGTTTCCAACGTTGGCTTTAATCCAAATCCATCGAAAAAGGCTGGATTTAATGAAAAACCGCGTTTCCTTTAGCATTTAAAGAAAGCGGAAGTGCACCCGATATTTATTGGAAGTTACCCTATCAGCACATGTGCAATTTACAGTACCAGCATACTTTGGTAAGATCAAACAAAGCCACATGGGGTTGCTTTTTCTCTTTCTATAGCTCTTGTTTTTCTGTCTTTCTCTTATTTTGTCTTTGCTTGTACTTTTTTTACTTTGCATTTTGTGAAACACAAAGAAAAACATCTAAAATACAAGCGAATTTAGAAGTTATTGAGTTGTTTTTATTTTCCGCCCTCAGGCTGACGTAAGTAACCAGAAGTGAAATTTCAACTACTTAGCTACATGCGTGAGTGCATGCATAAATCGGTTAATGGGCCCTTAAAAAGGAAACAACATTTTTCATTTTACAAAACATGTTTCGACATGCCTATGTCATCTTCAGTTGCAAATGTTCGACGATTGTTGAATTTTCACCGTATGCATGATTACATTATAGAATTATGCCATAAAATTTACGTTAACAACTTGAATATTGGAATATACTGGAAACAAAGGACTGCTGGTGCACACCAACAGTAGCTGAAACAGAATAAAAAATAAATAAAATAAAAAATGAAAAAGACTTGAAAAGCAAGAGACAAATCTAAGTGCCTCAGCTGTTGGTTTAGAGTTGGAATTTCCCACTTAACAAACAGCGCCTCTTTTATCTTAACTTGAAACTCGAGGCAGCAGAATCTAGAATCGTGAAAGATTCTGCAGAGCACGAGTCACGACAAGTCCCTGATGACTGCAAGTGCTTGTAAGCATGTGAAGCCTTGTCTGACACAAGGTGCTTGTGGACACGTGTACAAATGTGGCGAGTGGTCTCACCAATGTACCAGGCATTACAGCCAGCACATGAGAATTCATAAACGACACAAGAACGGAGACTGTGGCATGGACTCTTCCAAGCTGAACTCAGAGAAAAACCATGATAAGAACTAACAACAAACAAATATAGCTACTTCAAAAGACAGGAATTTCTTTCTAAGTTCCAAGATATTTAGCCTGAATTTCAACAAAAGGGGTCTCCTCCAGAATTCCTATGCTTCAATGAAGTGTCAAAAGAGAGATGATGATTACAATCAGATTAAGGAATTTGGTCTCTTTATCCTGTGAAGATGATCACTCCAATGTTGGAGAGGGGCCCAAAAAGAAGCGCATGGTTCATCCTTTTCACATGCTGTAACAAGGACCAGTGATGATGAGGAAGGTGATAACATTATTACAAGCAATCTCAAACAGCTTACACAACTAGTTTTGTTTATTACTTGCCCTCTTTATTTACCTTATTTTCTTTTTACAAATATTTATAAAACTTTCAATGCTCTGACTCTAATGTTGATGTTAACTCTGTAGAATATATGGCACAAAATATATTAATAAATAGACTAATTTATCTTCTACATTGTACTTTTATGCATTCTTGCAAAGTTCATGATCATTTTTGTCACTTTTATGATTGACATGTACTAACAAAACTGTATAGATGTTCTAAATTCAAGACTTAGCAGTTACTTGGTATCCTTGAGGGATTGCAACATTCAATCATGATTTAAAATAACTTTTTAAAAAACACTTTTAAAAAAAGACCTTTCACTGCTAACTATCCACAGTAAAGGCACTTTAAAACCAGTGAAGAGGTTATAGTGTATACGGTTTGTAATCTCCAGCTTGATTTCGAAGTGGAACACATTCTTGCCTTGTACAAGAGCCCCACACCCCACACCTTGGAAAACAAGAGTGTTTGCCATACAAATCAACAGAGGACAAACTTGCAGTATCTTCATCTCTGAAATCAAAGTCAGCCCTTTCTGTCTTTTCTCTCCCAGTATAAATCCATTTCCGCACAACTATTACCACAACAGTTATTAGCAAGAGGACGGCAACAAAGAGGGAAACAAGCGTTCCAGCTGAAATTTTGCCAGTGCTGTGCTTAGGTCTCGGATCACCTAAAAAAGAGCAAAAATATAACCTAAGCACAACCTCATTTTTTAATAAAACGATTGTTAAGCTTTGTCATGTAATAGATTTCTCATAACAACTATGTATTTATTTATTTATTTATTTATTTTACTTGGTCCTACAAACCTTGTATCATGCTAGTGTCCCATAATGCTATTAATGATGTGCACAAAATAAGTTTACTTAACCCTATCCAGTTAACAATGTCAGTGAACTTGACTAAGGGGGGTGTTTACGTGACAAAAACCTAACACTGGTGTGAGTTTCATAGTATGTTGTTAAATGGACAGCAGTATTTCACTGGAAAATATACCACTTGTAAAATTCACACGAAACTACATCCAGCACCCAAAGTGTTGGTTTTTCAGGAGGGAGGAAAACTGGAGTGGCTGGAAGAAAACCCTTGGATCAAGGCAAGAACCAACAAAATTCACCACCCACCCATATGTGTATGGCGCCTGGCTGTAATCAAATCCGTGTCCACATTGGTGTATATGTATAGCTTACCTGGGATTTTTACCATGAGAGATGTGTTTGTGCCACTGACGTCATTCATTACCCCAACATGGACACAATACTTGCCAAAATCGTGAAACATGTGATTTACTATCAAGCTACAAGAGTTTTTGTGCTCCATGGTAGGACTGCAAATATCTCCAGGTGGCAGGTTGCACTGTTTTGAAACACACCATTGAAAGGATACAGGAAGGCTGGTTGAGAAAAGAAAAGAATCATTATGGTGAAATCAACAGTTGTGCTCACAAGGTTTCTGAAATCCTGAATATTATTTCAAGTGGCAGATCCTGAAAAGTTCTTAAAATTTCCATGGTTTGAGTGAAAATTCGAACCGGGAAGGAAAGATATCTCAAAATAAACTTATGTGGGTGAACGTAAAAAAGGTCTGAATAAGAGCCAAGTGGCCGATGAGGCCAGAGCTTATCCTCGTTTCTGTACCATGAAATGACTAGGAGTATTTCTACTCCCCCTGGATGGGATGCTAGTCCATCACAGGGTTACCCCCAGCATTAAGTTTGCTGGTACTCATTTATACACCTGGGTGGAGAGTGAGCAGAGAACAGTTTTAAAAAAGGTACAAATGGTACATGAATGTTGAAGAAATATTAGCTAGTGCATTGGAAGCTTTTATGGACAACCTAACCAAGTCCCAATCAACTGATCACGAATAACAGCAGGACCATGTAAGGGGAAACTTCAACAGTTTCAGATGAACAAAGAAAAAAACATGCAAAAAGCTAAACATTATTTACCTTCCATTACAAGAGATGTTGAATACAACCATTTTATCTTGCAGCAAAGGTTTGTGCTGCACCGCAAGAAATACACGTTCTGCAACAAAAAAATATATTACATTATGGCATATTGGTCGCTTGCCTGACAGGCTTAGTTGAAGTAAAGTTTTTTTGGTGAGTAAATGACTTAAATTAATGACACTACAAAAATTAATAATATTTTGGGGCTAATGAGAATGACTATGGCCTTAGGTGTCCTGCAGGGCATGACAAGGATATGTAGCAGCAGTAGCAGCAGCAGCAGTAGTGAGAATAACTAGATAAAGTAACTCTGCTCTAACCAAAACTTTCACACTAAGTATTTGCAGCATAATCTTTTGCAATTCCTCAGAGCACATGTAAATCATCAGACATGTTCTTGGTTGCCATTCTGATGCTTACAATGTGAATCAGTAAAACGTGAATGCTAGAATTACTAGTGGCATGTTATTGTGTTCCGAGATAATCCATCCCAGATGTGACATGAAAAAAACACAAACCTGAACCCTAATTAACTGTGTGGTTCAATCTACTATCTGATTGGTCCCAGCATGGTATTGATTTCTTTCACAGGTCAATGTGAATTCAAAGTCTTCACTCTTGTCAGATTTGCACATACCTCATACTAATAAGCGTTTTATTAGACATTACTATTTATAGTGAAAAGTGAAGAATATAGACTGACCTTTTACATACAGAGTCTTGATAATTGGGTCTAACTTGGGCGTTTTTTCAAAATATTTGGTATCTACCCTGATAGTCACCCACAACTTATGGCTTCCTTCTTTATCATATGCATGGACAATTGTTGTGTTTTTCCTGCGTCTCACCAAAGTACCATTGCCAAATTTCCAGTCAATAGATACCCCAGTTATCACCTCAAATGGATCCTTAAATTTCACCTCAAATGTAACTGGACTGTTCTTGGCTACTGCATTTGCATGACCAGACGGAAGCTTAGGTCCAGTAGAACTCTTAATTTCCAAATAGGGTGTAATATTGGCTAAAACGAACAAAACACACATTATTTTGAGATTTCACATCAAACATCATAATTTTAGTATTTACAAGTGTGAGTGAAATAAAAGGATGAGAATGATGATATTATGGACTCTCTGAAGATAAAAAGTAAATGATAAAGTCTGGATACAAGTCAAGTGGGTCTCTACGTTGGAGCTCTTCCCGGTTTCTGTAGCATGAAGTGACTAGGAGTATTTCTACTCCGCCCTGGATGGGATGTTACCCACAGCATTAAGTTTGCCAGTACCCATTTATATACCTGGGTGGAGAGAGGCAAAGTGTCTTGCCTAGGAATGTAACACAACTTCCCCAGCCGCTTGATCTGGAGATGAGCACGGCAACCATGAGCCCACCGTCCCCATCTCTGAGCACTCTCATTGGCTATAAGCCTCTGTTTTACCATGATAGAGCGGTTTTTAATTGAGTGTTGAAAGTAAGCGGGCAATTACTTTGGTTTTGGTTTTGGTTTTACTACACCAAGAGTCGAATTACTGAAACCTGCTCTTAGCTAATAAAACAAAATACAATTAGATAGCAAAATGTGTTTTCTCTTTTCACATCTGAGTGATAAGGTAAAGTCGCTGTACACAGGGGCCAAGTAGTCCATATTGCTGGAGCTTATACCTGGTTTCTCTCGCATAATGGGACTGCGTAAAGGAGTATTTCTTGGGGCCCCCTTAGTCTCATTTGTCACTCTAGCCAAACTCATACAATTCTCACTGTCCCCATGTGGCTGCTTCTGACATACATTCCTTTCTCACTGTTTCCCATATTTTTACTTGGACCAATCAGTGCCTAGTTATAGCTGTCGTGATATTTCCTTCCCAGAGAAACCCTGACTGGCCATTGATTGGTTGACATTTTTGGTGCGAACCTGTGATTGGCTTATTTCAAGGTTGGAAAGAGGAGCTTGAATTTAGTTTGGGCTGTACGGCTGACACTCCCAGGATAGAAATTTCACAACTGTGATTCGGAAAAAGTTGGTAGGTATTAATAGTTGGCTGGCTGGTCCTGCCTGGATTTCACCTGTTTGTCTCTTTAAGAGGGACCTCTCTCTAAGATAGACATCTCTCTAAGGAGGACAGCTAGAACTGGTCATGCGAATATCCACCTTAGAGGGAGTTATTTCCAAGAAAGAACTCACAATATCATAGTATAAAAAGAGACATTCATAGTAAGTATATCCTACCTGTAAATTCTAATGTTTTATTGGCAGTTCCAAAATAGAATCTGCGTAGGCTCATTCCATGGATAGTAACATTGATGGTACAAGATCTGACGGTAGTAAAATTATGAGTCACATTTTGAAGTTGTGAATTATGCAACTGTGAGCCATCTCCAAAACACCAGTCGAATGTTATCCCTTCAAGATCTAAATCTTGAGGTTTCTTAATGATAATTTTCAAGTGCACCATTCCTGCGACAAAAGTCTCATGGTCTGTGTTGCTTCCATTTTTGTTTTCTGGAGAATCCTGGTGGGCATCCAAAACTGCAATTACCGGTATAATGTCATCTGTAGATAGATAGGGAAGGCAAATCAGCAAGTAAAGCACAGAAACACATGTTCAAACCATTACTTATTTCATTCTTCTTCACAAGTCAAAAAGAAGAAGCAAAAAAGGCATACACTGCCAGAGCTTGTACTGGTTTCCATAGCATAAGTGATTGCTACTCTTCCTGGATGTGATGCTAGTCCACTGGCTAATCACAGACAGTCTGAAATGCTTTAAACAAAATGACCATAGTCACATGATAGGCAAATGCTTGAGTCTTAGCTGACACTAGATGCCTGGTACACTTACTGTATAAAGTGTTCAAAGCACATGATTTAATTCTAATTGTTACCTTTCCTACCAAGCCTACCGTGGGGATACGCCCCTTTTCTAACAGTCCTCTTTTTACTAACTGCACCTATTCCAATAAGAGGCCCCCCTGGAAAAGTGACAGTTCAGGAAATGATATAGATAGACCGATTAGCTGGGAAAATTATATCTAGTCTTACTGCTTTCCCATCTGAACATAACACTGAACATGTTAGAAAATTTGAAGTGTAACTATGAGAACCATGTTCCTGCTGTAGTTAGCACCCCTTCTACTGAGCTACAAAAAGTCAATAAGCCCTTGGGTGGTCACTCACTGACAGCATACCAACATTTGTTGACTGGCAAAATCAGTGTCCATTCTCCTTCATCAAATGTAACCAATGAATGGGTTGATCGTTGCTGAAGTCACAGTTTACATAGTTTTTGCCTTATTAGAACTATATGATTTTGTGTGGAGGAGGCATCCTGCTGGATATGAAGTGACTCCAAACTGTTCAAGAGCTTTTGAAACTTAATAGCTGGTGAGATTCTTAGCTTTTTAGGTTTGATATTGAAGGAGATATTAGCTTTCAAAAAATGCAAGATCTCTGGGTGTCAAAAGTGCTAATGAGCCCTTACATTCTTTGTAAATGTTTGAGTTTTCAAACCCACTTCACATCACATCACGAGTTGCATCCATTGGTCTCAAGTTCCTTAGGGCAGTCAATAGTGCTATGCATCAAGGTCTCGCGAACCATGATTGTATTGGAAAAATAAGCAAGGCAAGTGCAGAGGAAATTGTTCCAGAGTCTCTTCATGTTGATATCACTGTTGTGCACTGGCTATTTCAAGACTCACACGATGACGTGAAAACCCGTATTCTGAATATATGTCAAGATATAATATTTCTTTCTTCTAGAGGGCATAAGTTAACTCCTAAGCATATTGGAATAGGCCTTACCGTTCACCAGGCAACTAGATCAAAACAACTGGTACAGCTTTTACATGCTGCCAGCCTTTCGGTTAATTATGACACTGTCCTCAGAATGGACAATACCATTGTAAATGATGTCCTTGAAAGGTACAAGGAAAGCGGTAAGGTGTTTGTTCCTCGTAACTTCACTGGAACCACAAAACCTGCAGGCTACACTCACTTTCCTGTAGATAACATAGACATAAATGAAGAGACACTCAGTGGCATGGGCACATTCCATGCGACGCAGGTTGCCGCCTTTCGTCGCAAAGAGGAAGGAGAACCAGCCATGGATATCGAGCTGTCTCCTATGTCAGACAGGCGGCTGGATCTATAAGTGCCATTGGAACTTCATGAGCTAACCGATTTGTCATTGGACAACAAGAAACCAGAACCTGAAATACAGAAGACAGTAGTTTCTGAGTGGTACACACCTGACAGCAGTCTAATTGATGAGTCTCACAAGAAGGACCTAGCTTGGATCCTTGGTCGTTTGCATGAGCAACAACCTGAACTCCAGTCAATCCCAGGGTTGACTGGTTTCAACCAGCTTTTGGCGACTGAAAAACCACAAGTCACAGTGGTGGGTCCACTTCCCATTGTGAATACTCCAACACATGAATTTGAGACTCGTTGGACGGTGATCTTAAGGTGCAAGGCAATGACGCACCTGAGAAATGGCAAGTTCACTGTTATTACCATGGATGAGGGCCTATACAACAAAGCAAAGATGTTGCAATGGGGAAAGATGCAAGTGCTTAAGGATGTCATCATTGTGCTTGAAGGTTTTCACACGTAGATGACATCGGGAAGTAGCCAAAGTTAATGACGCGAGAAGAAGTGTCAGTGGCATGTTTACAGTTACTAAGCATACTGTGGGTGCTCCTGAGAAGGCGGATGCTGTGTAAACCGACGCTGCACTTGGATTCGACTATCTCTTTGCTGTTCCAAGGCATGTAAATGTGGCGACAGGTGCAGAAACAACAGCAACACTGTAGCAGAGGTAAATGAAGCATGACCTATGACTTTGATAAGGTGGAAGTCACATGGTGGTCTTCTGTAATATAAGATACTTTGCTTATGGTTTATAAGCTTGTATTTCTGGCTTAAACCGTGCGTCCAAGTAGAAGAAAGTTCAGTCTTTTTACATGAAAAATCCTAACTCATGGGAAATGTTACATAGGTTGGAAACGCTATAGAATGACTGAAAATGGAATGATTTCATTACATCATGTGACCCATCAAAGCTGATCACCTATTGCATTTTTGTGTTTTTATTGTTGGATGTGCAAATCAAAATGAAAAACGCCAGTACGTTGAAAACCATATTAAAGGAAATTGTGAATAGAGCGTCTTTTATGCTTTAAAATCGATTTTATTGGAAAGTCACGCTACTCTTCATAACTGATCACGTGATGCATTTTATCTCCTACACTACTGTCTATCAAACTCAAATCGTCAAGTAGCAAAGATTCAGCTATTTCCCCATCGTATTGTACACTTTTTATTGGGTTTACATAAATGTTACAGTTCAGCCTCGCTTTCATGCTGCAGGAGCGAGGACCTAGACAAAAAATATCAAATATCATAACATTTGGAGTGGGCAACAGCACAATTCTTAATCAGGATGGCAAGACGAAGATTTTAAGCTATGTTGCCTGCTTCTACTCAAAATGTTTAGTGAAAATCGTTTTTTGGCGAGCTGCCTCCTGACTACACTGCTAGATGATATTTATATTTTAGAAACTGAATCGCTCATGCTAATGGCAAATATTGTAAACATGCAAAGACTTCCGTTTAGCTACAGTACACCACTGAATAAGTCAAAGCATGCAAATTAATGCAATTACATGAATTATACCATCGTAAACAGGAAGAAATTTTAACACAAACTTTAAAATTTTATAAATTTTATACCGTCGGATCCAGTAACTGTAACATCTGTACGGTTCATTGCGTAGTAGGAGTTGTAGCCATTGTGGTATCTTCGTTCATCCGTGGAATCTGGATAACTCCAAACAAGAATCCGCACATAAACAGAAACTGTTTTCTGTCCACCACTGCTCCATCGCCAGCAAAAGCTATCCCATCTATGCGTAGACTGACTGTGCTTTATCCACGGCCCGGAAGGTACTTTCCAGAAGAATTCGTAGGTTATATTTTCATTTGAAGCATGTCTTGTTCGCGTTTTAGGCTTCGAATTCAGTACAACTTCAGCGTCAAACGCTGTTATTTCTCCTAGTTTTGTTGAGCCACTGCTTGAGATCAGCACTTTGAAGTCTCCAGAATGAAGTGAGTGTATTTGTGATGGAAGTAAAAGAAGTGCTGAAGCGACAAAATAGAAGAGTGCTTGCGGCTCGGACATGTCGTATATCACTTTCGAACGCTCGATCGAAAATGAAATTCTTGTGTGAGTGGAATTATCTGCTGCAAAATCTGTAGCCCAGATGGAGTCCTACCTCAAAATTTTGCTAATGTAATGTAATGTCGCCACATATACTGTTACCCTTTGCGTAACAGCCTTCTCCCAAACTTGGACTTTGAGAGATTCTTCAAACTGTGTACTTAGCAGCCAAGCAATTCCCCAGGGCGAAATTTAACACGGTCGGGAAAGGGGTGTCTGGAAAACCCGAATAGAGAATAGCGAATAGTCGCGAATAGCGAACAGCGAATAGTCCCGAATAGCGAATGGCGAATAGTACGAATAGTGCGAATAGTGGCGAACAGTCTCGAATAGTGGCGAATAGTGGCGAATAGTGGCAAATAGTGGCAAATAGTGGCGAATAGTAGCAAATAGGGTACCCAGTATCTCGCAGTCAACCTCGTAGCAACTTAGGATGGGATTTTCGGGCTAAAAAGCACAGACGCTTATCAGGACAAAAGATGTTTCTAAACGTAATTTATTCTTTGTAACCGCTGCAAAAGCGTAAATACGTCTTTATTAGGTCATCCTTGTGTTTTCTATTTTCGTAATGTCGGCGATGGACAGCCTGCTAGCCTGAGTCCGTAGAAGAAAAAGTAATAAATTCACTCAAATTCTGTTGCTTATTGCTGGATATTAGATCTAAAGCGGTGACTATTGACGACTATTCGTCACTAGTCGTCACTTTTCGCGACTGTTCGCCACTATTCGCACTATTCGAGACTATTCGCACTATTCGGGACTATTAATTCGCTATTCGCTATTCGCGACTATTCGCTATTCGCTATTAGGGTTTTCCAGACACCCGTCGGGAAAGTCCGACAAACACATGAAAAGATACTTTACAGATGATGTATGGATTCAACGTATGGATTGTCACCTTTGCTATTTTCAGCTGGAAACAATTTCTGCTATACTGTCAAATATGAAAACAAATCGATCTCTGGTTTTCGAGCCTTGTTTTTTTTCTTGGTCACGACATAGTCTCGTGACCAACCTTTGACCCCTTTTGACCAACCTCGTCCCCAGGGCCTTCTCCACTTTTCAAAACGACAAGCCGCTGTTTTGAAAATCGTCGAAGAGAAGGCCCTGAGGACAAAACGAAAATTTGTTCTCAGTCCTCCGTTCAGTTGCCAAATCCAAGATGTCGGCCAGTTCGCTGGTAAAACTATCTGCCTCTGCCGTTATTCAGGACGGATGCATCGTGGACGGATGCGACTTGAGTACATTACCTAGAACTGTCCTGCAAGAACTTCTCTTAACCTCAATTTCCAAGTCGAGGATGCTCTGTTTAAGAAGTCTGATCACAAACTGGCCAATGCAACATCTTGTTCTGCAGAATGTCTCAAGTTTTGATGAACCGAAAGCAGTTCTTCTTGCTTACTGTTTACAGAGGACAAAGTACGATTTGAAGCTTGTGGACATGAGAGGATGTAATATTGGTGAGTCAAACTTTGAGTTCCTTTAAATCCTTTTTCACCTACCAATAAACCTGGAGGGGTGGGGGTGAGGAGTGTAATTAAGGAATTGAAAATGAAAAGTCCATTTTGCTTGTTTTGGGGGACAGGGGTGGGTGGTTGACAAGGGGTGCCTTGGGCACCTTGGAGTACCTTAGGGTTCTCTCAGCTTCATTTCCTGTACATAGTGCTAGTAGTAGCTAGTTTATTTAATGGATAAATCTAACACACATACAACAGAATGGCCGACAACAACACACAAGGCCACATAATGAGTCACATGGATAATCAAACTAACCAAGTGCTGCTGACCGGTACTGGTGTAAGGTTGTTACTTAGCTTTTGGCCCTTTGCTACAGAGGCAATTAAGAGCAGCTTATCAGCAACCCTGAGCTTGAACTTTCCATTCTGTTTCCTTCAAGGTGGATTCCATCAACTATGTTTAGGCAGCAGTGTCGTATCACCAGCTGTTTCTTTGGTGTTCTCTTTCAGAACTTCTTTCGTTAGGGGTTTCAAGTGAGAGAATGATGGCTGATGTTGGTTGGTGTTGTAGGTAGATGCTACAGATAAAGGAATGCCACAATTCGAATACACAGTAGTTTAATCAGTGTGAACATAAGCATGTGTGAGTGAGTGGATGCGATTCAACTGAAAATAAACAAAGACAAAATATTTAAGTACAAAAATATAACCACAGAACTGATAGCGGAATAAAACAAACTTACAATCTGCAGCGAGTCCAGCTGAACTCAACCCTTCAGAAAAATAACTCAGACACTCAAATGTTAGCCAAAACTAGCAATGCAATAGAAAGCAGAAAACAAAACTTAACTGACAGAATTCAAACAAACAATGGCAAAAAAATGAAGTTAAAACTATGGATAATCATGTGAAACAAGTAAAGTACTGATAAGTAGATTATGTAATCCTGAGAGGTATTGCATAATGCAGTATCCAATACAGGATAGTCTTGCAATATTGCTAGTCACGCAATATTCCTGTTGATGATAGTCATGCAATATTCCTGTTGATGTTCATGGGTTCCGGAAAGTGAGTCTATTACAAATTAATTATGCTTTCTCTGCACATAACAGTGGCAGATCTAGGGGAGGGGCCCAG